CAGTCTTTGCAAATGCCATGTTACAAGAATACAATTTCATGGCTTTTACCCAAAGAAGTTCTCTCCTCAATTATTTATATTTTCAAGTTCACTGTTGCAAAATCTGTCTTTTAGATTAAGTAATATTCCTCCTAGAATTACTGAAGAGAGAAAACAAGTGTTTATAATGAAGCCCTTAAAAATCTTGCTTTTTTGTTTTTTTGCATGTATACAAAACCATACATTTAGACAAAGCTGGAGCTGTCAGAGAATGTTACAAAATGCAGTAATGTAATATGTCCTGCAGCTACTAGGCTCAATCAAAGTTCAGAAAGGCACTTTTCTGATGTGCTTAATTCCACGTACACTTATACTAAAATGAAGATGTCCTAGTCAATCAGGGAGACAGCATGATATAATTAATGACTCCTCTATAGCAGTTTCCCCAGTTATGTCATTCAGTGTGATCTGATTGATTTATAATATATGATTTACATAAGGACTAGTTATTTCTAAACTTTGAAGTTTATGCAAATTTCTCTGCTGAGATTAGCATAAAGCTAAATGCAATCTATTTTCAAAAAAAAACCAACCAAACAAACAAATTAAAAAAAAAAAAATCAAAACTATATCAATCCACAAATGTTAGTTACAGAAAAACTGTTGAAACTGATGAGCTGAGGGACAGCTTTCCTCAGCAAATGCAAGTTTTATATACTTCTGAATTAAATTAATATCTGCCTTTTGACTGGTCTGCAGAAAAATATTATTTGGTGTGAGAAACTCTAAATATTTTTTTTTAAGATGGGAATGAGAAATGCGCTTTGAAAATACATTTCAAAGAATCTGCCAGCAGCAAGAAGTAGCAAGCGAATTATAGGTGGTTGAAAATCAACTTTCTGTGATAATCTCCAGATTTCATGTGTTCATAACTTTCCGAAATACACTCTAAGCTGAATGGTTTTTATGTTTGTTTTTCTACCAAGATTTCAGAATGTTAGAGGAAAATTTGATTATTTTTTTCATGAAAGATACTTCAGCTGTTGTTGAGGGAGGAAAAAGACCTGACTATATTCTCTGAAAATAAAGATACAGAAAAAATAGTTGAAGCTGAGAACTGAAACTTAGCTGCTCACTGAAGGCTAAATTCACAAAGTCACTTAGCTTCTGTAACACATCATTTAACTTTCAGCCTTCAGACTTCCAAAGTAGCTGAGTTACTTTAATGTGTCCCTCTGCCACAAGTGGGAAGGGTTGGTCACCTGAAGGAACATCAGTACTGCTAAGTGACAGGGGAATATGGAGCAAGCTTGAGAACAGGACTCATCATGTGTTCAGGTCACAGCGCAGTTGACAGCCCTCCTGGATGTGCTCTGGACCTCTATCTGGCTCTCTCCACCCAGCACCCGTGCACTGTTTGGAGGACAGAGTCTGCCTCCAGAAACCTGCATAAAGATACCTGTCTTGTTTTGTTCCCCTCCGTTCTTTCTAACACTAACCCCAGTGTAGTCTAAGCACTATCAAACATAACCTCCTATCTCGCTTCAAAACATGCAACACTATATTTAGTTTCCTTTTACTCCCATTGCCTGCAGTACTGCTTCCTATTATTCCAAACACTTGGAGCTGAAAAATAGCCACACAAAATAATTGTTCTGTATTTTAGTCACTCAGGAACCAGGTGGGACCCAGAGGAGAAGTAGTGCCAAATACTAGGCAGTAGTATGGGATGTGGCCAGTTTGGAGCAGAAGGTGCTAGCAGTAAGCCCTGTGAATGTAAGCCAGTCCCTGCCACTTGGACTCAGAGACAGCAATTGATCTGGGGTTGTAGTTTATTTTACCAGCATAGCATCTTCTGAAACAGAAGTCTGCAACATCCAGCTTGATTAGCAAGGAGTTGCTTGTGTTGGTCATTGTCAGAGGCTGATATAGATGTCAGAGGCTTCTGTAGAAACTTTCCCCATCTGCTTTCTGCTTGGAGTCACAGCTTGGCCTCTTACGTTAAAAACTGTATTTCTTGTCCCTAACCAAAAACAGGGCAACTTCATTTCTTGTAAAATGCTGTTGATGATGCCACCATTTTGTATGGGGTATATTAAAACATTCAGACAATATATGAGACACCTGGGTCCTGCTCATTCTTTTTGAGTGATAAGAATTTATCCTGACTATTTTGCAGTGGACTGTGTCTGGGAGTATTCTGGTTAAAGCTGTTCTGTAATGCAACAAGAATTCAAGATTCACTGGGCCAATGTAAATAGATATTCTAACTGGTCTGTAGGATCCTGTCCTAGCAGATCAGATATACAGTCTGGACCTCTGGCAGAGAAAGACATGATAGCTAGTTACGTTTCAGACTACACTTGTGATAAAATAAGGCTCAAGTAAATATTTCTGATATTTGATTTATATAAATATAATATAAAGACAGGGACTGTCTTCTCTCCTCTAGCTATGCTTTTCAAGAATGAATTTGACAGGAAGTTTTTGTGCAAGTTCAAGATCCTATAGGTATATGTGCTGTCAGCACAAGTACCAAAGTGATCTTAGGAAGATTTTGGATAGGAGAACATCTGGATTCCAGCTAAACTTAGGGGTCAACCAGGTGCTGACATCTTTGCATTGACAAGGCTTCTTGGCCTGGGAAGAAACATAATTTTAAGCATGAAAGAAACTTTGCTGATGAAACTCTCAGTGCCCACAGATAGAAACACCTCTGTCTTTAAGCAGCAATTTCAAAGTACTTTTGAAGATTCCATCGTTGATCATAAGTATATGTATTCTGCTTACGTCCCACTTCTGATGTTAAACTTTTTGTAAAAATGGACCTGTTCTAGATATGGAGGTATAAAGATAAAATGGTTGGATAAGGGACTCTAAAAAGTAGTTCTGAGCAGTGGAAATAATGAAATCCAGTTTTCCTTGTATTTGGATTTTCTGCTCTTTAATAAGGTGAAAGTTCCCCCTGATGCTTTTTTAACAAGTGGGTCATTCATAACATCATTCCCTCACGTGGATTCTTTGATATCTGTGAAGAACTGACCTCATGCTTCAGCCTTTTCCTCAATAAAGGCAGTAATAGAGCCTCTTTTCTTTTCCCAGCTACCTATTTTCAGAAAACTTGTAGGATCTTAATGTACTGAGACCTGAAGTCCTCCATCAAATTTGATTGAAATTTGCTGACAGTTCAAAAGCTATTGGAAAAGGATGGATAAACACACACCGTCACAGTGTTGTGTTAGTAAAGTGCATTTCCCTAGGAATGCAAGGCAAAAATCACTCCTGAGCATACTCAGAAGCATCTGCTATAACTCTTAACAGAGCCATTTTCATGTAAAAATGTCCAGTTTAAAGACTATGTTCTGCATAGTTCTCTAAAAATCAATGATTTAACATCAAAAAGGGAGAAAGAAATTCCAGAGAAAAGGAAAAGAAGTGCCATTTTAGTACAGTTCTGATAGTACAAACCACATCAGTCAGTTTAGCACGTACTGTTATAGTGAAAAGTCAGATTCATGCTTTCAGCATGTTACCATGAATATAGAAAAACAGCTTAATCCCTTCAAATTCATATTGGAAGTCTTGCATTTATTCATAAATCAACAGAATGAGTGAAAGGAGTGCCATTGCTCTGCACTCTCCTGTCCAGGAATTTTGAAATCACCGAGGAACCTGTAGCCCTTTGTCATTGCTCCAAATTGTCACTCCAGCATGAGAAACACGCTCCACTGCACCATGACAAGATGCTATTGCAAGTAGTACCTAACATGCACTTTTAATCCAAGATAGAATTTCTGGCCTGAAAACATACATAGTAGTAGTAATACATTTGATTTTAAGTCTGAGATGAAACAATTAAATAAGGAAACAAGAGGGTGAGGGAAATAATATTTACCCAATGAAATTCACATGGTTATCATATGTGATCAGTTTGTGCAGTATAAATTTAGATATGGAGGATTCAGTGGATGTCCTCCAGAACATGATTTATCCTACCCTTCAAGAGGTGAGATAAAGAAATGATCCAAAAAAAAGACCTATTACTCTCCATTGAACATTGAAGGCACATTGCTGAATAGATGCTCAGCATTTTGATGACTAAAAGAGATGAGGTGAAGGATCATTAGAAATAATGGAGAAGCCTTATGCAAAACACCTTTTCCTAACCTCCACGCTCTGTCTCTAGGAAGCCCATACCCTTCTAGTGCTAACTGTAACACATATCGATAAAAATTTATACCTACACACTACTTCCTTCTGCCATCCATTCCCAGTGTTAATGACTTTGACTGGAAATCCTAAACTCATTGGGTATATTTCCATTGACTCTGGTGGCTGTTTTAAGTTCACCATGTGCAGCCATGTTGTGTCATGCTGATATGTAAATTTAAATGCATTAGACCGTTGTCTATAATGCTTTTGGTCACTCAAGGTGTTGAAAGCATTCAAAAAACACCCCTGTCTGATCTCTTTATGAAATTGTCTGAGAAGACAGAAAGGTATTTTTGTCTGAAAACAGAATAATATCCTTTTGTCATGGTGCAGTTCTGAATAATTTTATAGAAATCATCAAGATTATCCTGGATTTACTGTGCCTTAATAAAAAGGAGAATCTGATCCAGCAGTGGCATGATTGACAGTCCTAGCTTGAGTAGGAAGAGCATGGGGTCTCCTTGGGATCCTCAGATAAATCAGCTACTGTTCAGCTGATTTTCTGGATGTTTTTCCTTTGCTTTCCAGTAGACATTGTGTGGGAGGGCTGGGGAAGCAAGCACTACCATCAGTAGGGGAGTGTTGATTTTTGCGTTCCTGAAAATTGCTGCTGGCTGTGCTAAATGAAGATAATTGGTAGGAATCAATTAGTCTCATGGGAGGGTGTTATTAAGGGTTGAGTTCTTTCCACAAATTGCCCCTTCTGCACTTATTGCTTGAGAAGCATAATCTCAGCGACCCCGAAATTCACAGAACAGGAGATTGATTTCCTCCTTTTTCTTTTTCTTTCCCCCCCTTAAACTCTGCAGGTCAGTCCCACCCCAGGGTGCATCCGGGCGTTAATGAAGATGTTGTACTGCCCTTACTGCAGAGGACTTCCCACTGTGAAACCTTGCAACAACTATTGCCTCAATGTAATGAAGGGCTGCCTAGCAAATCAGGCTGATTTGGATACTGAGTGGAATCTGTTCATAGGTAAGAAGAGTTTAAATATTAGTGGAAGGAAATTCTGGTAATAGCAAACATCTGCAGAGTTTTGTGAGGCTAGAAGACACTGCTGGTCAATATTCACATTGAAGCAACTGCAGATGCACCTCACTTTGTAATTGACCTTCCTGGCTTGCAGTAAGAAACTCTTCCCCCCTGAGCCAGTCATATTTTGTATTTCATGTTTCAAAAGGAATGGTGTGGTGTTATGGCTTCTGAGCTGAATCATTACATGGTATGTGAAATGTTGAATAAGCTTTGGTTGAGGATTTTATAACAAGCTTAACATGGCAGAAATAGTATATATTACACCTGAAAACTAGGCTCTTGCAAGCTGAGAAGATAATAACATTGTATAACATCTAGTCAACATAAATCACAACAGCTGCTGCTCTTAATTCTGGTAGTATATAGACAAAAACCTTAAAAAGTTACATACGTGATAAATAATTAATTCCTTGTTCTTGATTAAAATATGTTAATGTCTCCCTTTCAGTGTGCTGAGTAGAAAGTACCAAACGTAATCAAAATGTTAGAATGGAGCATATAATATATGTTTAAGGCAAACTGATATTACAGTTTTATTCATGTATTTCTTCACTCAAGTAGACAAAGAAAAAACAAGAAAGAATTCTCCTTTAAACAGCCATTCAGATATCCTGTAGCAAACAAAAAAAAAAAAAAAAAAAAAACAACAAACCACCAAACCGAACCTCCCAGAAGAGAAACATTTAACAAGAAATAAGAACTGCAGGTTGCTTTTCATGTTACACAGGATAGGATGAGGGATGAGACAAGGCTAATGATAACATAGAAAGAACAGAAACAGCTAGTTACACCACTCACTAATGAGCATCGTAGCCTAGACTAGATCTCAGGAAAATAAAAGCAGCTGGAAAACATGGGATAAAGCTCTCTTTATTGCAACCAGAGAAAGGAAATGTTATTTTCTACTTTTGGAAAGGCAAAATATGAGCAATCTCATTTTGCTTAATTTCAAACTCCACTGATCAATGTGACTTTGAAAATTTGACTCTGACTCATTCATGGATTTTCACTTTACTCAGCACAGAGGTGGTGCAAGATGGATAGGGAGAAGAAAACAGGATGAAAAATGAATCAGAGTATGAAAAGTGAAAAACAGCATTGAGTGTGCTATAAAAATAGCATAAGCCAAAAATGCAAACAACAATAATAAACAAATGATGCAAATAAACATGCCTTCTCAGTCTGTTGCACTGGTTAAAGGAGCTGACATGGGAAGCAGTGCTGTATCGAGGGATGCTCGTGGGATTACTGGTGTGTAAAGAAGAGTTAATTCATCATCAGAAAGCTAAGTAGGAGCTGATAGGAAAACAATGCCAACCTATTAGAGACATTGCATAAGCTACTTTCCCTTTGTCATTAAAGAGTAAACAAAAGATGAATTGTCGCTAATTCTGATCAAATAAAACAATGTAGGCTTTTAGGAAAAAAAAAATACTAAAATAAGTAACAGAGCTTTTATTAAGGCAATCATCTGTTCAAATCAAAAGCTGGAAGGTAAGATTTCAGGTCTTAAGACTTAATGTAAGAACACTTAATTTTCTGTTGCTTTAAATTCAGTAGGAGTGCTGGGCTGGGAGAGGTATGTTTTAGAAAATGTGGAAATGCTTACAGATTCAGACTCTCATAGTCTGTGATGCAAAGCCCTTGTCTTCATCAATGTTCTTCAGATTTTGGTTGTTCCTGTTCTCAGAAAAGAAAAACTACATGAAGGCTTGTACATTATGTTAAAACAATGCTGATTTATTAAATACTATGTGATACACTGTGTACTTCCTTAAAGGAAATCAGACTGCTATGAAATTATCCCTTCTGGTCAGTGATGACAAGGCAGTATAAAGTACAAATACATCAAGACATATTTCCTCTTTCTTCTGCCTAACAACTTCCCCTCTACCACTTGATGGGGAAGGGAATAGAGAAGGAGAGACAGAAATTTTCCTGTGTTTGGAAAACATATTCTGTTTTATTCCATTTTGGAGGCCACTGACAGCTTTGCTGAAGATAAGGGTCCTTGGTCCTCCCTTTATGGAAGATTGAAATGCGGTAAGTTGTCCCATCTCTGACAGCTGTCAGAGGCTTTCTAATAACACCTGCAACTCCCTTAGTACTAAACAGAACAAAACTTCTACTCACTGAATTAAAATGAACGGCAGCACTTTACAGCACCACTGAGCTATGAAAGATTGGAAATTATGCATGAGCAGTTTTTATCCCTGTTCCAATACGAGGAACCATGCACTAAGAAAAAATCTAGGAACAACAACAAAAAAAAAAAAAGATAATTTTGTGCACTAACAGTCCCTGCGTAGTCAGGAGTCCCAAATGTTAGTGCATATTCACTACAACAAGGTAGTTTTTCTTAGCTCATAATCTGTGTATTGCAAAGTTGTTCTGGCAAAAGTTGGTACTAGGAGGAAACTCTCAGATGGGTTTGTCACTAACTAAGCAAACACTGTAGTTTGGGTTGCATGTTCTGGTATTTTTCTATAGTTACTGTAACTGTCCAGCAACACCCAAGATCTACAAGTGAGGAGGAGCAGAGGAAAGTAAATGGGGTCTCTGACAACAGGATGTGTTACATGTTCCACCTAGTTTATAAATATAAAAGTCAGGACTGAAATCACATTTATATAGCACTAATAAATCTTGCATATATTTTCAAAGCTAGGGAGAGTGGGACAGCTTCCCCTAAACATCTGGTGCTTTCCAAGATTTTATAGACTGTGAAAATTGGTAAGAGGTGAAACAGCTGCAGCAGCATGACACATGGTTTATTATATTTTTCCTGTTTGTGTCACCTTAAGGTCTGTGTCCTTTTTGTGTAACATTATATTATAGGCTTTTTGTATTTTGTTGCTTTCATTATTGCACAATAAAAGCCAAATGCACCACATCTCATTCTAACGGAATTCCTCTGAAGCTCAGAATTTTGCCTGAGAAAGGAAGACAGTCTTTAATAATTATATTATAATTACAAAACTATAATGAATAAATGCCTCTTCCAGATATCTAGATAAAATATTTAAGAGGTATTTAAAACTAAACCAGCCCCACTGACTTTGAAAATGTGTATTTTGACAAAGCTTGCTTCTGATGTTTTGCCTGTTAGTTACCCCTCATAATCTCCTTTGCACCAGTCTCAAGCAAAGGTAGCAAATGCAAGATAAAAAGAATGAGTAGAGGAACTGTATTGCTGAGGAAGGAGATTGCCTCAGGGGAGGAGCTGACTGATTCTATGGAATGAGGAAAAGGGGATTTTCTCAGTCTCATGGCTCAACTGATACAGTCAAAATTATGCTTCTCTCCATGGAGAAGAGTTCCTATACCAATTAACAGTGATAAGGATCAGGGATCCCACTATTCATTCTGTCACGGAAACAGAAGAGAGAGAGAAAGTTATTCCCACTTACAATGATTCAAATCCCATCTATCTTAAGGAATTACATTTGATTTTAGCAATACTGTTACTCCTTTTTCTCTAGCTACCATGTGTTTCAGTCCCTGTTTCTATCTTGAGATTCTTTGACTTTCCCTAACAGTAGGTTTCTCTACAATTGATCATTTATTTTCCTTTAACTGCTCTTTTTCTCAAACAGGAATGTCAATTGAGGAATGAGCTCCCCTTAGTGGGCACCACACTTTCCCTTGGTGCCCTCATTCAGCTTCAGAATCAACATTAGCAAAAAGATGATTTCCATTAAAACAAGTGCATCTCATTCTGACCACTGCCTTATCCACAGGCTCAGGATGGCAAAGTGGCTATAACCCATTTGCTTTTTGAAGGATTTATTTCACAATTAGCAGCAGGGTTAACTTTTATCTGTCTTGAGACAAAAACACAGATGATACTAATTCTGAATATTAAACAAGATTGTGAGCCAAATATAGTCCTTACTTAAATAATTCAGAACAACATAAGAATAAAAATCCAGGTAGTTGCTTTAATTACAGCAATGACTACACCTGGGCGTTTTGGGGGGTTTTATTTTTGGACATCTAAAGTAAATCATAAATGCTTTGTTGCTGTATTTAGTGACAAAGTGTACACTAATGTAGTGCCTGTGCAGTCTTTGGATTGCTTTGCTGCAGTCCATGCAGGTTTGCCACTGCATGGCTATTTACAGCAGTGGACATTAAAAATAGTTGTGGGTTTTTTTTTCCTAGGAATTCTTCAATGGTAAATCAGACACACCTTGACCTTGTTCCCATGTTTTAATAGGTGAGAGACTGCAGAAAACATTTCAGAAGTTGTGCAGTAACAGAGGTGTGCAAATGACTGATTCGGATAGCTCAGGTTTGCATCCCTGTCTGCGAAAAGGAGCCAAGGGGCTCCTGCACTAGGGCATGTCCACAGCCATCCTTCTGCTCAGGCTGGAGAGCAAGTGGCTTTGTTAGGAGAGTGTTCAACATTTGACAGGCTCTGTGGTGTAACAAGGCAGATCAGCATGTGGTGTATTCACACAGTAGTAGTTGAGGCCAGCAAAGCTGGCACCCAGGCTCAGAGAGCCCGAGCAACTTCTTACTGCCATAGGCCAGCTAGACTCCAACCACAGGAAAAAATCATATCTGCAAGGTTTCAGCAAATGCTTCTCCTTCCAGTTCTGAAGTTATTTCACTTACTCTCATTATAGCAGCTCTGCACTACTAATAAACTTTCTCGTTGTGCTTTAAGAATTCCTCTTTTTCTTCCCATCAGTATGACTCAGACACTTACCTTAGGAGATCTTGAGGTAAAGCATACCATGAAGTCTCACTTATAGCAATTTGATCATTTTAACTACTTACTCTTAAGAAAAGCTTTAGAGTGATGAAAATATGCAGTTTTATTTACTGCTTACAGAAGCCCTCAGGGCTCTGTGTTTTCTCTGTTTCATGTGCAAGCACAAGGATAAACATTTTCCTTTTAATGCTTCAAGAGACCACCTAGATTTGTCTATTTT